TATATTAATATTGTCGAGTATTAATTTTCGGAATTAATTATTTTTAGTCGAGATTACCGAAATTTATTTTCGACGTACGTTTACGTTCGGAATAATTTTGGTAATTAAGCATTATATTTAATTAAATAATTAAACATAAGAAAATGATTAATTAGCAATTAATCATTAAACTAAGCTTAAAAGCCGTACAATATTTTCCCTAAGCCGTAGCCTTACTTCAAGTTTGGGAAAGTTAATTCTTCCTTCTTTTGGATCATGAAACGTGGAAAAATTAAGAGGTGATTAGTCACCCCATTAACCACCTAAGTAGCCATCATTTGGCAAGATTTGAGGAAGCCACGTCTCACCTACATCATCCTTAAGTTGGGTTTTTTTTCTTTTCGGCCGTAGCATATAAAGTGAGGTACTTAGGGAAAATTTTCCATCTCATGTTCAGCAGCCATATATATATATTCTCTCCTCCTAAACAATTTGCAAGTTCAGCAAATAAGTAGTCAAGCAATCTCCTTAATTTTCCTATACACCACGCACAAGCCAAGTATCGAGCACACGCACACGGAGCCAAGAATCACGCCCTATCTTTCATTTTCAGCCGAACGTTTGGAGAGGTACTCTCATCTTCAACTCTCTTTCATGTTATAAGTCAAGTTGGTATGAAATTGTTCAGCTCATACCTTGAAATTTCATGAACAGGCGATAATAGGCTCGGTTTAGGCTATTATAGGCCATGACCGAGTAAAGTCCTTTTCTATCCGGCAACTCTCGCGCAATTCATGTTTATTTAGTCATTTTAGATCATTTCATACTCAGTTGATCCATGTTGGTCGGGGCAAATTGCAGGTTTAGGCATGAATTGGCTTACAGACGTCGGCAGTGCATATAGCGCATGCCTACGGGCCATTATAGACCATGTCATGTTATCATTTATTATGAACATATTTGTCCGTATGATTCATGTCCCAACAGTTTTTAAATAATGTTTTATGATCAGTCAAGTCTTGTTGGTCGGGAGGAATTAGAGTTCGGTCGAGGGATTAGCCTAATGCCGATCACACGCACACGGTGTGCGAACCTCGGCTTGTTATTAGTCCAGCGAACAAAAAGGGTTAATTTTGAGATAATCAGCATATTTGATCATGTCCTATTAAGTTATGCTTAATCATGCTGAGGTTGCCGGAAGAAATGATAGAACGGCCGGTAAGGGGGCGGGTAGTGGGCAGACTGTCCGCACATAGCGGCAGTCACGCCCAGCAGTCACCCAGCACAGCGGCCAGTGTGCGGGTAGTGCATGTACTGCGCGGCAGGTACTGCGTGTGATCAGTACCCGCTGCGAGTAGTCGTTGGCAGTGCGCCGGTGCACGCCAACGCCCAGCCAAGCTCGCCAACATGCGATAACGCACGCCAGCGCGCGATGTCGCATGACAGCGGGCCGCATGGTGCCAGTCACGTTGTCCAGTGCCGATGCGCGCCCAGTGGCACGTTGCGGTGCATGGCAGCACCCGAACTGTGCCAGACAAGAGGTAGCCGACGCACATAGCGTACGGTCGTGCCACAAGTCATGCCCTGATGGGCCTATCGCACGTCTGCCGTGGCCAGGTGCACATAGCACCCCAGCCATGGCCAGGGCAGGCCTGGCAGCGGCCGTGCCCACGCCTAGTTCAACATGCAGTCGCACCACGGTCATAGCAAGGCCGTGGACCGAGTCAGCCGCCAGCCGACCGGTCCGAGCAGACCGGCGGTCCGGCCAGACCGGTTCAGACCGGTTACTACCGGTTTGACCCAAATAACATTATTTTAATCCTGGTTCGCATTTTTAAGTTCCATTTCAGTTAAAATTCCGGGTTCAGTTCAGTTCAGTAAGTTCATGTCCGATCAGTTCATGTTAAATCAGTTCCGGTTATTCCGGTTAAGTCTTAATATCATGTCAGGTTCAGTAGAGCATCTTAACGAAATTAATCAGTTAAGTTAACAGTCTGAGCATAGTCATTAGTAATTGTTTATATTATATTTCAGTTTGATCAGGTCACGAGTATCAACACTGCCTTTATTTTCACGAATCAGGCGGGGACTCAGACTAAGTACTACATTGATTATAATTACGGTACCATGTTTGAGGTATGTATTTCATGTCATGTATCCGCTCGAAATGGTCGTCGGTCCATTCTGGGTTCTAGTGGCCCGAGTCTGCCCACTAGAATGTGCACATGGTGTTCGACATTAGTTTGTGCCGGCAGATGAGGTAACGGTCAGGGTTCACGTTCGCGTGACGATATCAAATTCATGTTCATGTTATTACCGGTTTCATGTTGAGGTTATGTATATGCCAAGATCATGATGTTGTTATTATTTTCAATGTTTACATTAGTATGAGTTTCCACGGAGCACAGTGCCATAGTGCTCATTTCCCACTGTTATCATGTTTTTCAGGTCAGGACGTCGGGCCGGGAGCGTGAGATGACGAAGGCTTCAGGACTTTTATGTTTTGACTGTGTATATATTATGACGATTTATGTTTCCGCTGATGATGGTTTTGATGAACTTATATTTTAACCGGACTTTTGGAAAAATTATGCTTTCAGTAATCGTATGATTTTATTAAAAATTAAGATAAAGGTTTTTCCAAAATAAGTCACGTTTTACGGTAGCACCCCGAATCAGATTTCGCAAAGTAAAAGATTTTATTTTTAAATAACTTTGCGAAATTTTCGCACTCTGATTTTACGATAAGGCGGGGTGTTACAAAATGTTTATGTTCATGAAAAGGTTCACGTATGCAATGTTTTTCAAAGTGAGTAGCATCCTGAGTTCAAGTAAAGTTTTCAAAAGTTTTATAAAAAGACAAATTTATTCTAGAAATTCAATGTACGAAAAGCGGGGTGTTACAGGTTTGTTGTGATTTTGATAGGAGATGAGACATGATGTGATTATCTTATATTCATGCTGCGACCATACCATTTGACATGTGTTATTTATGTGCACAGTAGTGAGCACTACGTTCATTTTGTGCTCACTCCCACCTGCTCTTCACGGATGCAGGTTAAGCAGGTGCAGGATGACGGGGGAAAGATGAGTGGGTCGGTCATGATTTATGTTTTTATGATTTCGCTTCCATTATGAATAAAGTGTGGTTCTTGAGACGTGTTGAACTATTTTCAAAACTTGTCCTTTTTGGGATTATTGGACCATTTGTTTAGATATTCGTATTGGAGTTATTTATTGAATATCATGTGTTTTCGATTATGCATGCTATATTGTTTAGCTAATAATCATGTGGAATTGAAGTCTTAAAGGTTAATGAAAACCATGTGAACAACCAGATATGACTTGGTTGATGTTAAATGTTTGAATAACGCCCATGTTTTCGAAAATGAGTTCGAAAAATTATGTACTGATTTTTGGAAAGTCCGGAATTTCTTTAAAATCAAAGTGGGGTGTTACACAAATGGTGTGTAATCAACCTCTGGACGTCTTACACGACCAAATAACCTTCATACTCCACCCTATGTACCTGGTTACCGACCCTTACTTTAGACAATAAGGCTTTCTGATAGAACAAAGCTTTTCCATATAGCAACTTGATCCATTATAGGAGGACTCTGTCATTAGAAGAAGACCGCTTTGAAGCTAAGAGAAAAAAATGACCAGAAAGTGTTGTTTTTGCAGTTATACGAGACTCACTAAATGTAATTTCAATACTCCTCACCTGGTGGAGAAATGATAGATCGAGCTCGCGGAAAGTTTTGATCGATATTTGCGGAGTTGATTATCCCTCTCGAAAACGAAGATTTGAAGTGGTCTATAATTTACTGAGCACGCCCTGCGGGACTGTGGAAAAGCAAATGAGGTTTGGCGCAGATTATTACCAACTCAATTCCATGACTCTTTGTGAGGGCTTCGCTAAACCTTACCCACCCCCTACGATTCTTTGTTAAAAGAAGAAAGATTGCCGATTTAATAAGGTCCGCTTTTTCAAGAAATTGTAGGTTCAATATATCTTATAGCAAGGAGTAGATCCTGTTTTCCGGTTAGGGTTGGGTATGCTTTTTTCGTGGATCAGCAAAATGGACCTGGAGGGGTTCTCGACGTTAGCACTTCGATAATCAAGTCAATCACAAATGAAGACGATGAACTGTTGTATATGTAAAACATGTATGTAGACTATGTAGTGAATGTAATGTCGGAATGGGCATACCTTACTCCCTTACATAGTGGTGTGTCACGTTGTTGTCCAAGACTTCCCGGATGAGCTGCCCAGATTGCCTGAACTTCCCAATTCAGTTAGGCCACGGGGCCCTATCTACATGTGCTTCTTGTCTTAATAACATTCCTTTTTATCTATTAATTTGTCCTATTAGACGCTATAATCATGCGACTGACCCAAATCACCTCCAGGCAGAGTGATACTTGTGATAAGCTTATGTGTTATTCTTCTGGTCGATATGTCGACGAATCATGTCTTGAGGTTGAGTTTCAACTAGACCCTCCAAGGGTCCTAGGTCGTCAGGTCAGTGCTCTTTTGAACCTGCGACACCCTTAACGACCTGAGGACACCTTGATCTGTAGCTCCGTTCGACCAACCTGTTTAGCCCATGCCCAACTGATTAGTTTATGGAGTTTATTCAACTCGGTATGGTATCCCATATCAAATAGTTATATAAACATTGTTTGAAAAAATATAAAAATAAAAATTAAAGTGGTCTATACATGCACTTTAAGCATTTTTAATTAATTCTGCAAACAAAGTAGGGCTTTTGTATTTGCAGGGACATTATACAATGGGGACTCGAAAGAGGACCAACGCAGGAAATAATAGAAAATTGAGAGGAGTGAATTGAATATAAAAGATAAAATTAGAACAATAGGATTAGAGTGAGATGATCGAACGGACCTTAAATTTTACGCACCATCTAACTGTTTAAGTGCATGCTGGCCCCCAATCCCTCTCTCCGACCCTCTCGGTGTTTTCTCTCTTTCTCTTTCAAACCAAGTCAAACAAGACAATGGGTATTCCGGCGAGAAGAAGCGGAGGCGGAGGAGTGGTGGGGATCGATATGCTGAGCGAGAGAGCGGCGCAGATGAGAGAGGCTCTGGTGAAGAGCCAGTCCATCACTGACAATATGGTCTCCATTTTAGGCTCCTTTGACCACCGCCTCTCAGCTCTTGAAACCGCCATGCGCCCAACACAAGTATAGATCTTCTCTCTTTTTTATTTCCAATGTTCTTTTTTTTATTGTTTTTTTGTTAGAAAAATTCTTTTTTTTTTTTTTTTTTTT